AACATGATATGTAAATCTCATGTTTTAAGGAATAGGGCCAAGAGTTAATATCAAGTCCATTTATATATTTGCTTTCGAAAGCCTAACTATGCAAGTTCAATAATGATCTTCACTTCTTGGTTAAAAGGTGATCGTCTAATGATTTTTCCTATTGAAACTTTGATCTCCAATGACCTTGTTCTTTTGCAGGAGTGGACTTCTCAAATGCAGTATTGGACCGAGTGAACTTTGGGAAAGCTAATCTTCAAGGAGCTGTGTTCAAGAACACATTACTGTCAGGGTCCACATTTGATGAAGCAAAGTTGGAAGATGCAGTATTTGAGGATACTATTATAGGTTACATTGATCTTCAGAAGCTATGCACAAACAAAACTATCAGTGATGAAGGGAGGGCTGAGCTGGGATGCAGGTGAACTGAGTAGACAACTGCTATATCTTAAACCGATAGGCATTGATCTCCGCTCACGCTTTATAATTAACGTATTCTCTCATGCAATTCGTTATACTGACAAACTGTAGACAATGGCATTGGCATATCTAATAGTATTGTTAACATGTCGTCGGCTCTCCAGTTTCCCCCAGTAACTCAAAATAAATACTCTCTCCGTATTATATTATATGTAAGTTACAACCAACTAATTTACATTAGATCAAAATATTTGTTAAAATTAGTTAAAAACAACAAATGTGCAAAAAATATTTTTTTTTTCAAATATACTTTTATCTATGGAGAGAGAGTGAAAGAATGAGTGAAGAAAATGAGAGATAATATATGATAACTAATATACAGTTACGTATTTAATGGGGGGTAAAAATCAAAAGAGCAGATTAAATTTTTAGACACACAAATTTATAAGATATAAAACCACCATTATTGCAAAGCAGCATGGTTCCCGGGACCAAGATACTCAAATCAGGATAAATAAATATCTATCTCCATTGCGCTCATCAAGAAGCGCATCTGGTGTAGTGGTATCATAGTACCCTCCCACGGTACTGACCGGGGTTCGATTCCCCGGATGCGCAGTGTTGATTTTTTTTGGTTTTTTTTCTTCCTTGATCAATTATTCTAAACGCACTTGGCCCCTCGCCATTAAGGGGGTGTTTGGGAAACCCAAAACCATAGTTTCAGAAGCACTTTTCCGTAAAACGAGGTAATCTCCTCCACATATTTACTTCGTAATCCGTAAAAGCACTTCTGAAACCATGGTTTGATTTCTACCCAAACACCCCCTAAATTCAAGGGATAATTATTTTTGGGAAGCACAAGTTCAGATGGTAATACTAATTTATTAGACCAAAACCCTATATTGCTTGAAGATGGGATGTGGTGGGACATTTTTATTCTTGTTATTGTCAATTTTCTGCCCTTATATTATATTTTATTATTCTTTTATTCCTACTTAACTCTATAAAGATTTTATCGTTCTGTATTTATCATGTCACATCTTGAGTATAAAAAAATAATGTCACTTCTAACAAAAAATATATTTTTTTAAATTGATTCATCTAAATCCAAAATTTTCATACAACTTAACATCATAGAGTTTGAAGGCTAAATTGTTGAATTTTAAGTTCAAATTATACTATTAATGACTTTAAGAGCATGGTATGTCTTCGGTGATTCAATCAACTAACGCCATTACACCATGTCTTCAACCGTCCTTTTCTTTTGTCTGAATCAATTGTCCCAAGTTGGAAACATTACCTAATAAAAATGCTAAAAAAATCCCTTTCTTTATCTTTATAATATTTCTTTTCCCTTCCATCTATATCTTTGTCTTCCTCATCCAACCACCCGAACCGCAACAAGCACCAACCCCACCTTTTTGCACGAAAAGTTTATTTTTACTTTTGAGTAATGCCATAGCTCATTTTTATTCTTTTGGGTAATTCCCAGGATATTGAACTTGAACCCCATCAAAAAACCAATATGTTTTGACTGGCAATTATGATAATCAACATTCATTTTCATAACTAGAAATTTCTTCCCGTGCGGTGTGCAGATTAGAATACTTGATTAGATTTTAAATTCTAATAAATTGTATTATCTAAGATAGCTCAAGATTTACTTCTTATAGAAACATGATTTTTTTTTTTTTTTACTGGGATTTGTATTAGAGATGGGGAATTTAGAGGAAACATATAAAAATTTAAAATTATTTATTTATTTCTCCATTTAAACCCTAAATCAACATACTATTTAGTTATGATACTTTCTATTTGATTCAATATATTCAAATCCCAATTAATATATTATTTAAATTAAAAATTAATTATTAATTTTTTTATTTGAGCCTCCAATTAAAATCCCATATAATAATAATGCTTCTTATTTAATTCAATATACCTAAATCCCCATCAAAATATTATTCAAATTTCATTAATTTGGTCTATCTGGATCTCATAATGTTATACCCGACCTATTTTTAAACAAATCGGTATTACAAGTTTTCAAGAATATAGTTGAGGATTGATTGATTTTCAACCCCTCAAGTTCATATTGGATCCAAGACATTAATTAATATAAATTTAAGAAATGTTTATTGTGGTTGTAAATGCATCTATATTGTTCCTTTACTTTTTACATCCATGAAGTGTTGAATGCACAGTATGGTTTTATACGTGTAAGAAATTGTATATACTTCAGTTAATTTTGAACTGATTTTTTTTTTGGCCTAGTAACTATGATTAAATTAAAACTATGTAATTTATAGAGTTAATAGTTATTCATTAACAACATATAATAACAAAAGTTAAAATTATTGTAAGGCATTTTAGGGAACAAAATCTGACCGTCAATTTAAAATATAGTGACATCCCACGTCGTCATGACAAATTGACAAGCCCATCAATAATCCAAGTGTACAAAACATGGTAGAAAACAGTTGAACTATGAGATCATGAATAATTCTATCTGCTTTGTCACTTCAATTGGCAAAAAAATTCAAATTTGCCGGCTGATCTATGAATATTATCTATCTCATAATCTATATAATAATTTACCGCCCTAAATTAAATATTATATTTATTTTTATTTCATTCATCAACTGAAATTAAACTAATATATTGTAAAATTTAATGTTAAATTCCGAACGAACTAAGAATAGGGAAATTTTGAACAATTTCGAAATTAAAAAGAATAAAATAAATTGATTTTAAATTGGGAAAAATAAATTGAAGCTTTTATAAAATAGAAAAATGAAAATAAGAGAAACTACTAGATTTCATCAACAAATGACAAATTTAAGGATTCAACAATTAACAGCATGTTTTAGGATGCATACTTTGGATTTGATATGAAGCATTTCTTTCCTTCCCTGTGCATTAATGAGACAGCCCCGAAAAGCCCCACGTTGGCTTGTTTTTGTTCATTAAGTTATTTTTTGAGTTTTAATTAAATCATAATAAATATAAATTCTCCAATAACATGTCAAATGTTTAATTTAGTCAGAATTATACAGTTAACTCTAAAAACCAAATGCCATTTATGTTCTACAACAACTGAAATTGTAACTGTTGTCATGAAAAAATAAAAATTTTTATTTTATTTTCCCATCATTTCCCCACAAATATTCTTGTTCTCTTGCCAAAATTTTCCCGCGAATATAAGCAAGGTGAATTACTGATGGACACCCCAGAGTGAAAGCTCAGCCGCTATGGTATAAACAATAGGATGAGGTGAAAAGTGGGTTTTGTCTTTATGCGGCGATCATGAGTAAAGCATTAGGAACGAGATGTACTTGCGACCCATTAACCTAATCAGCCATAATGCTTGATTGACTTCACTTGCATTTTTGGTTGTTGGGCTTGAACCAACTTTGAGCTGCCATTCCATGAGTACCTAAAATTCCTTTCAGTTTTTAGCCTCTTAAGCTGACTGTCAAATGTCGTCAACCTTGCATAACCCGCTATACAGTTCTCATCACTCCCACTTAACAAACTTTTTTCATTACCTAAAATACCCTGATGAAATAGACCTTCATGTTTAATCCCTGAGGACTTTTCAAGTCATTTAGGGCAGCCTAGTTAGTGTTCCTCGACTCAAATTGCATCCAAATAGGACTTGCTTACAAATACACGAGAAAGTGGGCAATTTAGCTCTCATTCGGTGGCCACTTTGGGCTGTGGCTTTTAGACAATCCTGCACTTCCTAGATATTATATATGTTATGGAACTATGGGATATGGAATTGTATTTGTGCGGTATTGCTAGATTCACACACAGTGAGAGAGAGGGGAAGGGGGGCGAGGAGAAGGAAGAGGGGCATAGAGATTAAAGTTCCCCTTTTTAAAGTTTCTTGCTCAAATGAGTATTCCAACCACAGTTGCAGTTTGCATCAGATCAGTATGTACCATGGTGTCTCTGAGCCTGAGATGCTCACTTGAGCAAGCAATCTTAGAAAGTGGGAGGCTGTTGACTGTTGTTGCCGCCAACTTTTGTGCTCTTCAAGCTTTGATCAATTGTCAGATAAGTTCCCACGTCCCCTTTTTACTATTCGTGCTTACCTGCCCATCATCAAATGGAATCCATTACTTTCTTTCACAGCTAGCATGTGTTATAACCAAGGATATGATAACTGTCATTATAATTCAGAGCCTCGTACATTCTTAAGATTCTATTTGAACTGGTTGCTTTGCTTTGTTCTTTCTCTTTCTCTCTCTCTTTCCTTTGTTCCAATGAAAGTCTGTGAAAATGGTTGATGGTGTCTTTTTTTCTTTTTGGGCCACTCAACATTAGATAGCAAGAAACACAGTAAAAGCTTCTTGGCAACTTTCGGCAGAAAAAGAATCGACAGCAAATCCTGATGCACCGTCCACCGTCCCTCGTTTCGTAGCTACCGACTAGAAAATGCCGCTAGTTAAAATTTTCAAAGGAGGCCAAGAATGGTGCCATTTTTTGCACCACCCCGAGTGCAGCAAAAACCTCTGAAGTCAGAAGCAGTGGAGCTTATCAGACGTCACAAAATCTGAAATGGGCATTGACAATCTAAGGAGTTCAGTTCCTGCCCATACAAATAAGTTGACAGATAAGCCTATCAAACTGTACCTGATTTGAGCAAACTTCGCCAAGACGGCAGGGTTGAAGTGCAGCAACATGACTCTGTCTTCTAGGCAGAATAAACACAGAGACGAAGATTTGCAATAATACCTTACCCATCGTGGGAAGGAAAGGTTGTTCTCCTGTCCGGCTAACTGCAAGTAATACCTGACCTGTGTACTTTCGTATTATATCGTTTCTGATAGAGTCAGAAGTGAACATATAAACATTGATCAAGCTAGCATAAATGATTATGGTTTATACTAATAATGATTATAAAATAAAAGGGAGATTCAAAGTCCAAAAAGCTAATGGGGGATGGCAATTTAATTCACTTAAGCAAGCACAAACAGGGAGCTTTCTCACAATCTCACCCAAAGAAGATCCTTAGCAGCAAGAATTCCCCCTTGTCACAAAGCAAGGTATCACGGGATTACTTCATCATTGGCATCCTCGAATTCACCACCATTCATCATCTTCATTACCTACAGCCATGGAGAAGGCTGCTGGAGCATCCCTTGCTTCTATACTCAAAGGATATATGCTTCTACTTTCATTGTCTCTCATCCAAGGTATGCCAATGGATAGTAATTTCCCTTATAGAATTGTAGCTTCTATACAGAATATAAAAACCTAGTGATCCATGTCTTCCAGGAATACAAGGAATTGGGGTTAACTATGGCACGGTAGCAAATAATCTTCCACCACCACCTCAAGTTGCAAAGTTCCTCTCAGAATCCACCATCATCAACCGTGTGAGACTCTTCGATGCTAACCCAGAAATTTTACGAGCATTTGCTCATACGGGGATTGAAATTTCCATTACAGTCCCAAATGATCAAATCCCCCACCTGACTAACCTAACATTTGCCCAACAATGGCTGAACACCAGTGTGCAACCTTTCGTGGCCGATACCAACCTCATCCGAATCCTAGTTGGCAACGAAGTCATATCCACAGCAAACAAACTCCTAATCAGCAACCTTGTTCCCGCCATGCAAACTCTTCACACAGCCCTCGCCGGATCCTCCCTAGACAACCGCATAAAAATATCGACGCCGAACTCGTTAGGCATATTGTCGAACTCCAGCCCCCCTTCCACCAGTAGATTCCGGCAAGGCTACGACACTCATGTGATTAAACCGATGCTTAGTTTTCTAGAGGCCACCGATTCCCCCTTCATGGTTAACCCTTACCCGTTCTTCGGTTGCACCGCCGAAACGCTAGATTACGCACTTTTCCGGGGGAACCCCGGAGAGGTGGATCAAAACACTGGGCTTCGATACACGAACATGTTAGATGCGCAACTCGATGCTGTTTACTCGGCCCTGAAGGATCTGGGCTTTGAGAACCTTGAGATTGTTATTGCAGAAACGGGCTGGCCCACATTAGGCGAAGCCCAACAAATAGGTGTCGACCCAAGTTCTGCTGCTGCGTTTAACGGAAACCTTGTTCGCCACGTGTCTTCTGGGGAGGGAACGCCTCTCATGCCAAACAGGACATTCGATGCGTACATATTTGCGCTTTTCGATGAAAATCTTAAGCCCGGCCCAATTTGTGAGAGGAACTTTGGGCTATTTAGGCCCAACATGACACCCTCCTACGACATTGGGCTTATGAAGAAAACAGTAACAGTAACGACCTCGGCAGGTGCTTCTTGCGGAGCGTTTTGGTTAACCGTGGTTGCGTTGAACTTGGTTGGATTGCGGGCTTGAATGAGCCAGGCTCGGTGTTCATTTCCAATAGGCCAAATCTAGGCCCATTAAGAGCCCATGTGAGAAGCCACAGTTGGGTCTGCCCAAAACAGAGGCAAGCCCAGGATTATATTTGTGGGCCGATTCAAGAAGGTGGGGATTGCGTCGCAACAGATCCTACCGTCAGATTCAGATCTCATGCTGCGTCCACCATTGATACTGGTGATCAAGCAAGGAGAAGGAACGAATACGATTGCGATTTTGAAGGAACTGGATCCATAACCACCGTCGATCCAAGGGAGTATTTGGTGGTATTTAATGAAATTGTAGATACCGAGATTTTTTGTGTTTTTTTTTTGGTTTAATGAAATGAAATTCAAGGGACAAACGAGGAATGAAACAGAAATTAGCTGGGGGCTTATGGCTATTGGCTTCTGAAAAGTAGGATCGGATAATGAATGGGAACATACTTGCTGCTTTGGAAGATAATAGAAACTGCCATATTCTTTACTTTTACAATGAAAACTCGCATCATGTTGTACCACGGAGAAGGAAGGCATATATAATATTACTTCCGGTCCTTAATATAGTACCTCGTTTGATTTATATGTTAGTTCTAAATATAAGACCCCAATCCATTTGGTCTCTCACATTTACTCAATTTTTTTCAAGATAGTCCTTCTAATAATTATAGTTTTAGCCAATATACTTGATTAGTAATGATATTTTAAGAAAGACAACACTTATTTATTACAAATAACTAACTTAACTTCTTTCTTTAATTTCCTCAAATTAGTCAACTGGCTCTTATAACTAGGATCGGAGGTAGTAGTACTAGTTCAATAAAAGGATGATATGGAAGTAGATCTGAAAGTTCTCCGAGATGCTCTCCACCGCCTTCGAAAGCTCTCCCAAGGACGACCCTCCACCACATCCTGGAGATGATCCCAGCACTAAGAAAGTTAAAATAAGAGATGATCAAGAGATCAATGAATCGACGGATGCAGATTGCTCCTCTTCTTTTCCTTCTCCGGAAACGCACGTATCTGCTACTCTCTCGCCGGAGCTTGTTCCTGAAACCCAGGTGATCACATCTCCTCCTACCTTTGCGGAAGTCACTCGAATGAATGTTGATAAGCAGACTGCCTCCTTCAAAGACACCCTCCTTGATGCTGATAAGAGTTTCAATGAGGAAGAAGATGAAGTGATTCTACAACAAGGTGATGTCACAATAGGAATGAATGGTAACATTCCTACCGTCAACTTCGCAGCTCATGTTCTCGACGCCCTGAACAAAAGAATGGGATTCGTCGTGGTAGTAAAGCTCCTTGGCCGTTCCATAAGCTATCGACAACTACGAACACAGTTACAGATTCTATGGAAGCCAACCGGAAAATTCCAACTCACTGACTTGGATGATGATTGTTTCTTGGTAAAATTCAAAGATGATCTGGACTACCAAAATGCTCTTATTAATGGACCGTGGGTAGTCTTCGGGCACTATCTGACCGTTCAACCTTGGGCTCCTTCATTTAAGCCTCACGAGCATGTTATTAATCAGGTTGTCGGCTGGGTCAGGTTGCCTCGTTTGCCGGCAAGATACTACCATAAGAATGTTATCCGTTCTATCGGCAGCATTTTTGGAGAGGTCATCCGAGTGGACTATAATACTGAAACAGGTGATAGGGGTAAGTTTGCAAGATTAGCAGTTATTATTGACCTTACCAAACCTCTCACTTCTAAAATCCAAGTTGACGGAGAGACCATTTATGTTGAATACGAAGGTCTCCCAACAATTTGTTTTCACTGTGGGAGATTCGGACATCTCGAGGACTCTTGCGCCGAAAAAACAACAACTGAGGCTCACTCGTCGGCACCATCGGAGACAGCTCCAGTTTCATCAGAGCGTGTAAATAATCAAGAACCAGCCGCGCGTGAGACAAACCAATTTGGTGCTTGGATGCAAGTACAACGTAGGAGGCGCCTAACGGTCAGGGGGTACAAAAAAGATGACGGCTATGGCAACCACGGCATTTCCACAACAACACGATTTGATGCCCTTAATGAGGCAAGGATTTTAGAAGGAGGACGCCATGAGGTGTACGACACTGTCAGACAATACCCAAACGGAGATGCCAATACAACCAGACGTAAAGGCAAGGAGCCAAAAACCTCAAAAAAGGCAAATTCCACTAGCAGACAAAAAGAGAATCACCAGGTGGTCCCTAGCAAGGAATGCATCTTTAATTCTCCACATTACAAATCTCTACAAGCACAAACCACTTTGGATAACGAGCATAACTCGGTGGTCATTATTAATGATAGCCGAGTCCCATTACGTACCCAAGATACCCCAACTATTTTGGGCCAGAATCCCCACAACCAAGCCCATTCAACCTCACTAAAACCCCCTGACCCGAAATCTGCAAATAGGGGCATCAAGTTAGGGACTGGGCTGCATGTTCATAATCTTGGTGCCAAACCCAACGAACATGTAGCGGGACCTTCTGTTAAAACAATGAAGGAAATAGCTAGAGGCTTGCTTGAGGAACAGAGAGAAGTTTTGAACGAAGAAGACGTTGCAATGCTCGTAGAGGGAGTTGACTTTAACTCTATTCCTATGAATTAATTTTATTTATGTCTATCATTACTTGGAATTGTCAAGGTGCCTCTAACAAGAGGTTCCCTTCTATTTTTAAATCTTTGGTTGCTATTTATAAGCCTGAAATTTTTGTGATAATGGAACCACGTATCTCAGGCATCAAAGCTAATAGAGTCATCAAGAAGTTAGGATTTCAACATACTCACCGTATTGAAGCTAGAGGATTCTCTGGAGGCATATGGATTTTCTGGTCAAGCAAAGTGAAAGTGAAAGTTATTTCTAATCACCTTCAATTTGTTCACATGGAGGTCCTTTATCTTGCAGAGAATGTTCAATTTCTGTTCACAGCTATTTATGGTAGTCCTCAAGCTACCCTCAGAAAATATTTATGGAGTGATCTCACTGTCTTGGCACCGAGTCCTAATACTCCATGGCTTTTAGCTGGGGATTTCAATGCTACTGTTCACCGTGAGAAAAGGAAGGGGGGTTCTGATAGAATCAATCATGGCTGTAGTTTATTCAAGGCTTTTATGGATTATCATAGCCTTCTTGATTTGGGCTTTACTGGACCAAATTTCACTTGGAGGCGTGGTACCCTTCTTGTGCGTCTTGACCGTGCAATATGTAATCCATCATGGCTTAATTTATTTGGTGATAGTAAAGTGGACCATTTGCCAAAAATTTTGTCTGACCACAGGCCCATTATGATTAAATTGGGCTTCACTAGTAGATATAATCAACCAGATAAGCCCTTCAAATTTTTGGCCTCATGGTTGACTCACCCGGATTTTCCTAATCTGATCAAGAAAAGTTGGGCATCCAACCAAGACCTCATAACTAATATCAAGACTTTCTCTCGAGCAGCCCAGACTTGGAATTCACAGACTTTTGGGGGAATTGAGATTCGAAAGAAACGCCTCCTCTCTCGCCTCCGAGGAGTTCAACGACACCTTGAAGATCACCCCTTCTCTGATTTTCTTATTGAGCTGGATCAAACTTTAAGAGCAGAATATGAGGACATTTGCTTTCAAGAGGAACTATTATGGCTTCAAAAATCATCCTCAGAATGGCTATGTTTAGGGGATCGAAATACTTCATTCTACCATACCAAAGCTTTAATACGAAAACGTCGAAATCATATTTCAAGATTGAAATCTAATCAAGGGGAATGGATTGACAATGAGGAGCAGCTCTCTAGTATGGCTCGGGATTTCTTCATCCATTTGTATACCATTGATGACAATCAATTTCATCCTCTTGCTATCCGAGGTGCGTTTCCCCCAATCTCCCCTTCTGACTTTATTACTTTGGATAGAGTAGTTACGATTGAAGAGCTAAAGCAAGCCTTGTTTGAAATGAAGCCACTCAAATCTCTTGGAATTGATGGGTTGCACGCCCTTTTCTATCAAAGCCAGTGGAATATAGTGGGTCCTAATCTCCTCTCTCTTATGCAACAACTCTGGATGGGTCACCCTCTAGACCCTTTCTTGAATCGTACTCTTATTGCTTTGATTCCTAAAGTTAACAAGCCCAGTTATATTAGTGAATTTCGACCTATCAGTTTATGCCCTGTTGCTTATAAAATAGTGTCCAAGGTTACTGCGAATAGACTAAGGGTGCTCTTGCCAAATCTTATAAGCCCCTACCAATCCAGTTTCATTCAAGGGCGAAGCATTATTGATAATATCATTATAGCTCAAGAAACTGTTCACTCCATGAGAAAAAAGCGAGGTAAGGAAGGATGGATGGCCATAAAAATAGATCTTGAAAAAGCTTTTGACAAATTAAGATGGGATTTCATTGAGGACACACTACAGGATGTTGGTCTGCCTGATGCTATGGTTAGGCTAATTATGAACTGTATCACATCTCCTACTATGCAGGTCTTGTGGAATGGTAAACCTTCAACCCCTTTTGTTCCTATGAGGGGAATTAGACAAGGTGATCCTTTGTCACCATATATCTTTGTACTTTGCATGGAACGTCTTTCACAAGCTATCACAGCTAAAGTAAACAAAGGGGTATGGAAAACTATCAAAATGGGGCGTAATGGTATACCTCTTTCACACTTATTCTTTGCCGATGACTTAATCATTTTTGGTCACACCACATCTACTCAATTGGTTGTGATTAAACGAATTCTACAAGATTTTGTAAGTCTTCTGGGCATAAGATCAGCCAATCCAAGACTAAAATATATTTCTCTAACAATGTTCATTCAAGCATCAGAAGGCATATTTGTAATGAACTGGGCTATAATCAAACTGAATCACTTGGCAAGTATCTGGGTGTACCTTTGATTACTGGGAGAGTTTCTTCAAGCACTTATAAATATGTTCTTGAAAGAATTCATTCTAAGCTTGCTGGATGGAAAAGTCGATCTCTCTCTCTCGCTGGTCGCATCACTTTGGCCAAGTCTGTTCTTTCTTCTGTTCCTTTATATGCTATGCAAAGTACTTTGCTTCCTGCTTCTTGTTGCAATGAAATCGAAAAAATTATAAGGAAATTTATTTGGGGCTACTCTGATGATCATCGTGGGGTGAGCCTAGTCAAATGGAGTGAACTTTGTCAGCCTTTGAGGAATGGTGGTTGTGGAATTCTAAGATTTGAATCACAAAATAAGGCTCTCTTATCCAAGCTTATTTACCATATGTTCTCACAGCCTGACACTCTTTAGGTTAAAGTCTTAAAAGGTAAATATGGGCTTGAGGGCACAATAGAATCTATTGCTCTTGCCAGATCTCACTCCTCTTACTTTTGGAGGAATATAGCTAAAATATGGCAAGAAGCTTCCTTTCATGTTAAATGGAAACCTGGGGATGGTCATAAGATAAGATTTTGGTCAGATTATTGGGTTGGTGATTGTGGACCCTTAAAAAATCTTTCCTTTGCCCCTATCTCTGAATCTGATCTCTCACGAACAATTCCTCATTATATTGATTCAAATGGTGGTTGGAGATGGCACTTGTTTGACCACTTGTTGCCACCAAATATTCTGCAAGAAATTTCTTCCACCAAAATTGCCCAGACCCCTTGTGCCCCTTCTTGTTATTGGAACCTCACGCCAACTGGAGATTTCACAACAAAATCAGCCTATCAAGCTATCGAGTGTCTTAATTGGAACGTTGCTGATATAAACTGGACTCAGATATGGAAGCTCCCCATGGCGCAGAAAATACGGACCTTCACTTGGCTGCTTATTAAAAGAAAGCTCCTCACTAATTCTGAACGCCATAGAAGAGGAATGAGTATGGAAAGCCACTGCACTCTTTGTAATGCAAATGTAGAAGATATTAATCATGTCTTTAAGAATTGCCCGTTAGCATCCTCAGTTTGGAAGAAAGTTCTCCCACAAGACATGTGCATCGACTTTTTCAGGAATGATGTGGTGCCTTGGCTCAATAAAAAATTAGGTGATTCAAGCCTGGATATTTCTTGGAAGATTGGGCTTTGCATAACTTACTGGAAATTATGGGAAGTCAGGAACCATCGCATTTTTACCTCTGAGACTTACACGTTAGAAAGTATACTTGCTGACATTAGAATTAAAGTTGACCACACTGTAAAGAATTTTCCTATTCTTAGAATTTTCCTGTAGTCTTTCTCCTGTACAGTGTTTTTTTGGATGAATAGAAATCTTTCCTTTTTATTCAAAAAAAGGATGATATGGTGTTTAAAGAGTGGGTTAAAGGTTAAAACGAAGGCAACGATGAATCTTTAGTTTTTGGCTCCCTCTACAAAGCGGGAATCTTTTGGAGAGTACGTTTTATGAACGGTATTCATGCGGACTGACATTAAAATATTGGCTGCAGCATCCGTCCGATGCCTGCCAAATCTTCAATAGCAAGATTTTTTTTTAATTTTTTTTACCGTGTCGAGATTATCATCCTATAATTTATTGAAAGCTTTGTTGTAAGTAACATCATTTTTATGAGACACAGGTGGCGACTAGAGAAACACTGCTTTTCACTCCGTCGCAGAACAGAAACAAATCTAATGGTACGAACACCAAAAAACACAACAATACAAGAATAGGCTCAGTGTTGAACTTGCTCATGATCTTATAGAAAATTTTTACATCTTTGATCAATCACCACCTCTTATATATAAGAGGCGGTCGTATTTGAAGGGACATGGTTTTTTTTTTTAATTTTTAAAACCTGTATGTTTCTGTTAAAGTGATGTTACTTACTCAAAAAAAAGAGGCACCCATCTTTATGTGACCATATTATTCCCTCCATGATCATAAATTTTAATTTACATTTTTAAAATCTAATTATTTGAGAATAAATTAAAATATATTTTCTTTGGGAAAAACTTGAAAAGAATTATCCCAAACTAAATATACACACAACCAACCACATATTTTTCTGCCGATGCGGCGTAGATACGAACTGATTTAACAAGTACATATGGATGGCGAAGTTAAACCTCAAGTCAAAGCGCAGCCTCACGCTTATTTGACAAAATCTATTGAAGTCCAAGCAAAATTTAGAGTCACCGTTGGCATATATAGCTAATATATAATTTGGAGGCGTTTACAAACAAACTCACAAAAAAAATAATGGCAACTATGCCAAGCCCTAACTTCCATTCCAACCGTCAATAACCGCTTTTCCCTCCCCTCTCTAGCCTCCCTCCCTTGTACCCTCCCTCTTTCCCTTTCCTTCTTCTCTCTTTCTCCGTCTCCCTCTCAGAGGCACCGGTACCACTGCACCTGATACGACATGAACGTCATCACCTCACCATAATATATGTAATATCTAACAGCAGAGTAATGTTCTAATTGAGACAAATATTAGTTGAAACGTTGTGTCGTATCTTTAACAACAACATAATCGGTGCTTCCTGACAAAGATGAAAAAGGTGGTGGTTTACGCCGTCATAGCCACCGCCTTCCTCTTCTTTTTCGTCGTCCTTTCCCCTCTGATCCAAGACCAACGCAGAGGCCCCTGTCTGAACCGTCGGTTCGGGTACAATATCCGAGAACGAGGTGTGAGCTTCGACCCGCTGGAGAGACGGATTAACGAGAGATCATCATCAGGGACAGAAGATAACGGGAAGAGATTAGTAGCAACAGGAAATAATTTTGTGGACACGACGAATAGGGAAGAGGACGATGTGAATGTGAATTCGAACACGACGGTGTTTAATGAGGTTATGGAGACGTATCAGTATCTGACGGCAGGTGGGAAACTGAACACCACCTTGAGGTTGACCATTTTGTTCCCTTTGTTAGATAGAGACCCTAAGGATTATTTGATTAGTTTCAACGAGTTAGAGGCGTGGATTCTTCAACAGTCAATGGATAGGTTAGATTATATGACCTCCACTGAGTTGAACTCCAAGGACAAGGATGGCGACTCCGCCATTTCTTTCCGGGATTATCTTCCCCAGTTTTCTGACTCCGATATAGGTACGTACGTACTTGTTCGTTCAATTAAAGACTCAGAAGTCGGTGATTTTGTGGGATATTAATGTGTGAATTTCAAACAGAGAAAAAAGGGATGGTGCACGGAGAAGCAGGATGGTGGCAAGAGCGATTTGAAACGGCCGACTTGGATCACAATGGACTGCTTAACTTCACCGAGCTTAAAGAGTAATAATAAAATTGTTCTTTTTTTTTTTTGGTTTTATTGTTGTTGGATTATAAGAAATATATCTACATGAATAAACAAGTGTTGGTGGGTTGTTGCATGCAGCTTCTTGCACCCAGAAGACAGCAAGAACGAAGGAATGCAGAAATGGCTATTGAGAGATAGGATGAAGTAAGGGTCTGTACGTTGTTATAATAATTAATTAGTACTTCTCCTATTCTATGTATAAGTTCACACAAATTAAAAAAAAAATCTTAAATTTTATTAATTTTCTAACTTTATCCGTATCTAATATATATATTATACCACACATATGAATCCGAAGTTGACAATAACAAATAAAGAGTAGAATTGCAAAAAGTTTCTATTTCTGCTTTATAAATAGAACTAAAAAAAATTTTCTTCCTCTATTGTATAAATAGGATCAGAGAAAAAGAAATACATATACATATACATATACATATACATATATATATGATGAGGTGGAAATATCTGTGATAAGTAGTACGTGCATGTTTGAATGTGACGTGTACATAATGCAGGAGAATGGATTATGATGATGATGGGAAACTGAATTTCAAGGAGTTTGAAGACCATGTGTATGGTACGTACGTGAGTTACGTGGAATTTGAAACTGCTGGAAAGAACGTTCCTCAACCACAACAGAAGTTTCATGAGCTTGATGTCAACAACGACAAGTAATAACCTCATTGTCCTTTTCTAATTTCTTCTTACATTAGTATCTCCATCCACTTGAATTTTTATAAATTTGTTGTTTTATGTCAGTTTTGATTATATATAGAGCATTTGCCATAATTAAGAATGGCGTGACTGAACTGTACGATGTTGTCTTGTTTAGCTTTTATCGTTCACATAAATGATTAATGTTGTATGATTTTTTTAAAAAAATATTTTATTTTTATTTTCCATACTAATGATTTATTTCAATGTATGGCCTCTCAGATTTCCTGGTTTCTTCCATTTTATTTCTATATCTCTCCAAATATTTAGTGTGTGTGTGTGTGTTTTACTTGATTCAATATTTAAAGTAATTAAAAGTACTTTGGCCCTCGATCTGATATATATAATTAACCAAGAACAAATATTTGGCAGTTTTTTGTCGGTGGAGGAATTGATGCCCATACTTCGATACCTCTACCCTGGAGAATTAGCTTATGCTAGATTTTACACAATATATTTGATCAACGAGGTTAGTTTTCTATTTCGCTCTCTTTAATTATTTGTGTCATGTCATCAATTTTTTGTAAACAAATACTCCTCCGGTCCTAAATATAAAATCCATTTTGTAGTGTAAATTACACTATGAAATGGGTCTTATATTTAGGATCCGAGGAGTAACATATGATGCACCCCTCTCCATTTTTCATTGAAAATGCATAAATTTTCTTTTCACTTGATACGAGTTTTCTACTTTTATTAAACAAAAAGTTTCATATGGTGTTTGTAGTTTTGAAAAAAATAAACCAATGTTTAAATTTTGCTGAGAGAGATATCCATGTTTAGAATAGAAGAATACTTACCTATTATTTATGCACAGAATTGTATAATTTTGTCTAATTAAGCCCCTCTGGTTGTTGTGTATTAATTTTGCAGGCTGATGACAATGATGATGGGAAATTATCACTACAAGAGATGATTAATCATGAAATTGTATTTTACCACACAGTTCATGCAGATGACTCCCACGATGATCACGACGAACTTTGATCTTCTCATCAAATTAAAGCTGATCAAAATCCTTATGAAACCTTTTGTGTTTATATTATAAAGTAAAGCCAATTTTAATTTCCTTCCCCGTAGCTCATTGTGATCATATATATGCTTTTCTTGATCCTGGTTTTTGGAATCCTTCATTTATTCCAGGGCACCAAACGCACATGTAGAGTTTTATTATTTTATTTACTTAGCACCTCCTTTTCTTAGGACGTTAATTGTGTTTTTTTTTCCCTAAAATTTATTTTGGTAACAAAAGCTGATTATTTTTATTACTATTATTATTATTATTATAAAACCTAAATGGTTTTGTATGTGCTCATGGGAATATAATCGCTCGTTTAAAGGCATCCAATCTAATATTACAATATTAAATTTATCAAAATAATTCTCACAAAAAATAAAGTTGCTCTTTGGAAGGCCAGAGCTTTTGCATTAGCTAGCTAAGCACCATGATGTCCCTCCGGGACATCTCTAATGATTAAAATAGATCAAACCACCTTTTGAGTTGGCAGTCACATATATGTACATATTACACACACAATAATAACAAATTTTATCACACCACTATAAAAGTTGCATGATACCATTATGGGCCTATTTGGAAACACTTTCAAAAGAATTTATAATCACATTTTATGTAAGCTTAGTCATCTTACATGCTTAACTCGTATCTCGTATAATTCATTTTAAATGGGTTCCATGTATTATCAACGACCATCTTTTTATATAAATTACTGTTAAAAAAAACTAACTTCTTCTTGTCAGTTTTCTTTTATTTTTCGTAAGACTTCATACTGCTTCCATTCTTCTTCTTATAGGCACGTTAAATAGCCTTTTCATACGTCTAAGAATCTCATTATTCCGTAACAAATTACTACTCTTTATTTTTAACATGAAAGCTAGTTAGAAATTATATTTGGTCTTAAATATAAGACTTTATTTTATTTTGTCTCTTAAATTTATAATTTTTTAGTAAAGGATTCCTATCAAGAAATAGTTCTTATGTATATGATTAAAGATGGTAGTTTAGAAAATTAATACACATCTAATACAATTAATTAACTTAGTAATTTTCTTAATCTCTTTAAATTAAATTAGTTATCTAATTTCTCTATTAAAAAGTGTGGAGCTAGTATATTGGCTTTTTGGAAAAGGAAAAAAAAGCCAAACCCACCTCTTATTTCTCGAGAATGTTATCAACGATGAGTAGATCGCTGTCTAAAAATCATAACTGTTGATATGTATAGTTGACTTCTGTCACTTGATTTTATTGGCGTCCAATAATTCCAGACACCAAAGCCAGGCTAATGTTTTGATTTCAATTTGTTTAATTTCAAAATATCAAAAGAAAGTGATAGAAAAAGAATCTTGAAATTGCAAAAGGCACTCAATTTTGACAAGTCTCATTCTCATTTTAGGCTTCTCTAACATCTAAGTGCGTGATATCTTGCCATTTCAATATTTTTTCTCTCAATTTTTCTTATAGCTCTCATTGAGTTTCATGCAATATTTTTTCAGCGCATGAGATTTTCATACAATTTATTTTTAATTCTTTCAGCTTACTTATAATTTTAATACGTTTTGATAATTTAAAAACTAATACTTAAAAAATAATTTTAAAAGAAATTATATCTCTCATACATAAAAGGAGTAGTAATTTTCTTAGATAGATATTATACGCAAATATTTGTAAAATAACTTCAGATATACAAATATTTTATTAAAAAAACAACTTTTCTTTTATTTCGCAGCAGGTTAATATTGTTTATTTCTTTCTTTTAATGTCAAGAAGAAAAAAGACATGGTTTCAGAAAACCAATTTAGCGTAGCAAAAAAAAAAGCAATTTAAGGTTTGGTAAAAAAAAGAAAACCAATGGAGGTAAATCTTCTAAAAAGAATTACCTTTCAGGTTAAAAAGAAAAAACTAGGGCTGAGTAACGGGCGGGTTGGGCAGCCCGTGGCCTAACCCGTAGCCCGCCCGTTTAGTGTTACACGGGTACGGGTTAGCCCGTACCCGTGATCAACCCGTTAAAACCCGTTATAAATGGGTTAGGATAAATGGGCGGGTTTTACCGGGTTCGGGACAACCCATTTATATATTGAAATTTTTTTTGAGAAAAATAGAGACCCCTTATCTGCTCATCCCTCCTCATTCTTCAGGATAGACAATCAGCTTCAACAGCATCTTGGACAAAAAATTACAGCGACATGTTTTAGAAGAAGAAAAAGCAATCAGATTGAACAAGTTTGGAAGAAAAAAAAATAGCAGCACCACAGCAGCTTGGTGAAGAGGAAGAAGGAGAATAAGAGGAAGACGAAGTCGCATGGTCGCATCCTCAGTAGAGGAAGAGGAGGAGAAAGTGAGCAGAGAAGGTGGAGGAGGAGATAATCAATGGAGGGAGGTAGAAGAATGAATGAAATTAATGAGGTGAAGGAAAAAAAATCAGCAAAAGGAGAGAGAAGAAGGAACGAAGTTGAAAAAGTGAAAAAAGCAAAATCGGCGGAGGGAGGGAGAAGGAGGAACGAAGTTGCAGTGAAAAAAGTAGGGTTACTTTGAGTTTTTAAGGATTTAAAAAATTAAGATTTTAATGTTTTATCTAAAAAATTTAAGAAAAAATGGTAACTTTGAAGAGTATGGGAATCGAACCAGGTACACTACTACCCTGCAATTGATAAATTTTCCTCTACCGCTAAACTGAAGGCAAGTTTTGTGAGTGTGGTGCAAACTAAATATATTATAATAAAATGCAAGATATAAAAAATTTAAAAATTAAATGGGCGGGTACGGGCAGCCCGTGGCTGTGCCCGCAGCCCGCCCATTCATTCTAATAACCCGCCCGTTTAAACCTGCCCATTTTGCACACTTTTTGGGCGGGCCTAAACGGGCAAATTTTTTGCGGGTTGCGGGCGGGTAGTGCGGGTTGCGGGTTGCTTGCTCAGGCCTAGAAAAAACTAATCATCCTTTATTTATTCAAACATGGCCCGCCGGGTCCAGGCAAGCGGCAACAACTTTAAGCAGGGGCGCGCAACTGTGAATAAAACATTAAAACTTGAATAATGTCAATAACTAATATTTAAATAAATCTTCTCAATAATTCAATTTTTAATTTATATTTATATTTTTCTGGTGACGCGATTTTAGGTTTTGTTTAATTCGAATCCAGCGCGTCTGGTTGTAACCGCTCCTGTTTTGTTCTGCTGCTTCTTCTCTACTCTGTCACTCTTCTTTCGCTTTTGTTTCCGTCTGCAGATCGGTCACGCGGTGGCCTCCGATTCACATAATCATTCAATTCCGAGGTAATTTAGTAATTTATGTTTTCATGGTTTTTTCATTAAGTATTGATCCGATTGACTTTTGGTTTCGAACCTTCTTTTGGGCATTTTAGGATTTTTACGCTTTGTTGGCAATCTTACCGCGTATTATCATAAGTTGATTTATTGTTTCGTTGTCGATTTGAACGATCTTACTATGCTCTCAGTTTCGATCTGAGGCTACTCCCAGATATAACTTGCCGGTTTGATTTTATTCGTCTTTTAATGACGAGGGGGTGGTCAAATTCCTGTTGCTCATATATGGAATTTTATTATTCGGGAAAGAAAGAGCTATGACCAAAACCTATGTTTTGTTTTGCGTTTGCAGTGGAGTAGAGATTTTTTCTTTCCTTGCTAAAAAGAACTAAAAGAATAGATCTCTGGATACATTTGATTAAGAATGGAATAATATTAAACCATCCTCCATTTTTTATTAGAAACATGTGAACTCTTTGTCGAATGCATCTGTTGTTTCTTGTATGTAAATTTTTGAGTGATTATCGTATTTTTTTTTCCAAGATAAGAAATTTCACTTGGCTATTTTATTGTTTCGTGTCCAAGGTACTTGGACAAGTGTATACTATAGTTATAGTATATCACTTGTTAACTCACCTTCCTCTGAGTTTATTCCTGGATCTGGTGTTCTGATGAATTGCCCTCATTTCCTTTTCAAAATTTAGTGAGTAAAGCTCGTTTCACATCATAGGTACACCATGGCGATGGAAGTTACGCAGGTTCTTTTGAATGCTCAATCTATTGATGGGAACGTGAGGAAGCATGCTGAGGAAAACTTGAAACAATTTCAGGAGCAAAACTTCCCTGGTTTCTTGCTTTCTCTATCTGGAGAACTAGCAAGCGATGATAAACCAGTTGATAGCCGCAAGTTAGCAGGTCTGATACTAAAAAATTCGTTGGATGCTAAGGATGAAAACAGAAAACGTGAGCTGGTTCAAAGATGGTTGTTATTGGATCCTGCAGCAAAGACCCAGATAAAATCATGCCTGCTGCAAACTCTCTCTTCCCTTGCAGTTGATGCACGATCTACTGCATCTCAAGTGATTGCTAAAATTGCTGGGATTGAGCTTCCCCAGAAACAGTGGCCTGAACTGGTAGGCGCACTTCTATCAAACATTCATCAAGTACCTGCTCATGTCAAGCAAGCAACCTTGGAGACTCTAGGGTATTTGTGTGAGGAAATTTCTCCTCAGGTTTTAGATCAAGACCAAGTAAATAAAATACTTACAGCAGTAGTTCAAGGTATGAATGTAGCTGATGGGAACAATGATGTTAGGCTTGCTGCTACCAGGGCATTATACAATGCTCTAGGATTTGCTCAGGCTAATTTTAGCAATGATATGGAGCGTGATTATATCATGAGAGTTGTCTGTGAGACAACTATGTCTCCTGAAGTGAAAATACGACAGGCAGCTTTTGAGTGTTTGGTCTCAATTGCATCAATGTACTACGAGAAATTAGCTCCTTACATCCAGGATATTTTCAACATCACAGCAAAGGCTGTCAGGGGTGATGAAGAGCCTGTTGCCCTTCAGGCCATTGAGTTTTGGAGTACAATTTGTGATGAGGAGACAGATATCTTGGAAGAATATGGAGGTGATTCAACTGGGGACTCTGATCTGGCTTGTTTTTATTTTATCAGGCAGGCTCTTCCTGCACTTATCCCTTTGCTTTTGGAAACACTACTTAAACAAGAGGAGGACCAGGATCTGGATGAAGGTGCCTGGAATATTGCAATGGCAGGTGGCACGTGCCTTGGTTTAGTTGCACGCACAGCAGGAGATGATATTGTGCCGCTTGTAATGCCCTTCATTGAGGAGAATATTACAAAACCAGATTGGAGACAGAGAGAGGCAGCCACTTATGCATTTGGCTCGATCTTGGATGGTCCTTCACCAGACAAACTTGCATCTCTTGTCAATGTTGCTTTACCATTTATGCTCAGTGCATTGATGAAGGACCCAAATAATCATGTGAAGGATACCACTGCTTGGACACTAGGACGGATGTTTGAATTTCTTCACAGTTCAATTGTTGGCACCCCACTTATTAATGAAAGGAATTGCCAACAGATTATCACAGTTCTTCTCCAGAGTATGAAGGATGCTCCCAATGTTGCTGAGAAGGCTTGTGGAGCTCTCTATTTTCTCGCCCAGGGTTATGAGGATGTGCAAGTAACATCTCCTCTCACTCCCTTTTTCCAGGAAATTGTTCAATCTCTTCTTACTGTTACACACAGAGAAGATGCAACAGAATCACGATTGAGGACTTCTGCATATGAAACTTTGAATGAAGTAGTGAGGTGTTCAACTGATGAAACAGCTTCCTTGGTGTTACAACTGGTTCCTGTCATTATGATGGAGCTGCACAAGTCTCTTGAAGGGCAGAATCTTTCATCTGATGAAAGAGAAAAGCAGAGTGATTTGCATGGGCTTCTTTGTGGATGCTTGCAGGTAATTATTCAGAAGCTAGGCTCATCAGAGGCTACCAAATATGCCTTCATGCAGTATGCTGATCAGATTATGGGGCTATTTTTGAGGGTTTTTGCTTTTAGAAATGCCACTGCACATGAGGAGGCCATGCTCGCCATTGGTGCCCTTGCCTATGCAACAGGCCCTGATTTTGCTAAATACATGCCAGAGTTCTATAACTATCTGGAGATGGGTCTTCAAAATTTTGAGGAGTACCAAGTGTGTGCAGTCACTGTTGGTGTGGTGGGGGACATATGCAGGGCATTAGAAGATAAAATACTTCCTTATTGTGATGGGATTATGACCCAACTTCTAAAGGATTTGTCAAGTGATAATTTGCACCGTTCTGTGAAGCCCCCATTGTTCTCGTGCATTGGTGATATAGCTCTTGCAATAGGAGATAATTTTTATAAATACTTAATGTATGCAATGAACACACTTCAGCTTGCAGCAGAGATGTATGCGCACACATCAGGTTTTGATGATGAAATGTCAGAGTACATCAATTCTTTGAGAAATGGGATATTGGAGGCATATTCTGGAATTTTCCAAGGTTTTAAAAATTCATCCAAAACCCAGCTCTTGATTCCTTATGCACCCCACATCCTTCAGTTCTTGGATAGCATCTACATGGAAAAAGACATGTAAGAAATATAAAGCATATTCTTTTTTTTTTTTCATATATATTCTTATATTTGTATGTTTTAGTGATGTCAGTGTCTTTCATGATGCAGGGATGAAGTGGTGATGAAAACTGCAATTGGGGTCCTTGGAGATTTAGCTGATACACTTGGAAGTAATGCAGGTTCTTTGATACAGCAGTCATTGTCAAGCAAAGAATTTTTAAATGAATGTTTGACCTCTGAAGACCATTTGATTAAAGAATCTGCTGAGTGGGCCAAGTTGGCCATCAATCGTGCGATATCTGTTTGAGGTTCATCTGAATTAGCACGTTCTATATCATCTTAAAATACCTGCATGCATTTGGGTGTGTCGGGGTGGGTCTGGGATCGCATGTGTCAAGTCATCGCATTCAGGCAACAGAAGCTATCAGTCCGACAGTCTTCAAGTTGTCACTAACTCTTGCATCATCACCAATGCATCACTGACTTTTGCATGAGCATCAAGTCTGGTTCAGATAAGAGGAAGAAGGGAGAGATGAGTTTGCAAATGTGGGTGGAGTCTTCATGCAGAGTTGTCGGCTTCATGGTTGAGTGGAGGTAGCTTTTCATGGGTTAACACTGATCAGGCACCACTGGAGTCATATGTTGAGTCTTGATCATCGGAAGACAAACCCATTATGTCCTAAAGATCGCTCTCTCAAACTGGTTGTGGGTTATCGGCGTGGATGAATTCACTGGGCTATACCATTTTTCTTCAGCACCACCCAAGTGCTTTGTCAAGGGACTTGTTCTTCCTTTTCATCAAATTTACCCCCTGAATCTGTTGAGTATCACTGGGCTTTTTTTCATCCATATTTTTTCCCTCCATACTTGTGTCCTTGGGTTGGGGTCTTTGGGGATTACTGACACGGGGTTGGGATTTCTTTTTTTGGGGACAGGGTTGGGATGATTACATTCTGCTAGCATCATGCATTTCCTTTTTTTTTCCTTTTTTTGTCTGTAGTTTGTCTCAGGCGGGAAAAAAAAATAATAATGTTATTACGGAATCGTCAACTGTGCTTTGACATCATTTTATTCTTGCGGGCTTTGTTTTGCTTGTGAATCGTGGATGTAGTCAGATCTTGGTTAACGTACCTACATAGTCATGTCTAAAATCGTCATATGTGCTGACGGTATTAAAAGAACCAACAGAAGAACAGAAGTGTGGTTTGCTGTTTCGCTTTTCGGAAGCCAGTTATCTTCCCTGGCTCGGTCTTTGTTATCTTTTTCTTGCTCATATAAAAATGTGTATTTTTGTACGTTGAGCAATTATCTTGTTTGCGTCTGTCATCCTTTTTCTCGTAGTATACATGGTTGAGTGAGTCGTGAGTGAGCAATCATCATTGCTGTTGGCCAGGGCTGTTTACCCGTATCATTTTATTAAGATGTGTATGGGGCACAAAGAACCTAGCCCACAGAAGTGTTTTATATAAACGGCTAATACGCTTATACTGCAGAAGTGCACATTGTGGGAATTCTAGTCCATGCGAGGAATTTGTTGAGTTTGTTTTGGCTTTAGTATGCTGTATGCAGCTGGATGGTTTACACGGTATCACGAGGTTGATTTTTCAGGTATACTTTTTATTGTAATCGCTAGGAACGATTTGAACCGTTTTGATAAAATCAACAGTTAGAAATGATTACTTCAGAAAACGTTACTCCTGCAATCTTTAATATAAGACTTATTTAAATAATTTAATTAGATTAAAGAAGTTAGTTAAGTTAATGTATTATAAGAAATATGATATTTTTTTTGAAACATCATCTCTCTTAATATCTTCCTTCTCTCACTTATTTAATTATGGTTGAGAGAGTATTTATAAGGATAATTTACAAAAAATTAACACATTTGAGAAATGTTTTATATTTAGGTTTAAAATTAATTTAACAATTAGGTCGTATATTAAGGACTGGAGGAGTATATAATTTTCATTTTATGAGATCAGTAGTCCCAAATCTGGCAAAATCTCTGCCTATTGAGAATTTAGCAAAGCTCGAGAAGTCTTGGCCAATCTTGAATCGGGCTATTTAGAAACAGAAGCAAACACTATGTATTGGAGGGTATATTTAACCAATTTACAAACATTAGGAATTACTAACAGGTTGGACCTAACGGAATGTGTCAGTCTCTCACAGTTAGTGTCTGATAATGGAATTGTTTTTAATAGGAAGATAACTGTTAGTAAAAAAAATAGTTTGGGATTTATTTCATATTTTTAGTAATTTTTCATCACTTACATTTTCCTTCACTCTATCATCACTTCTACTCGCACAATTCCGTCACTCTCACTACATTCTTTGGTCTCAATATTTGACATCGCTCTCGAGTGAGATGCGACTGCCGTAACCCAACTTTTTATCCGGTGGCCGATGATCAGAACAATTATTATAAATTATGGCAATTTGATGGGTCATTGACACGTCAAGCAAGTGTGGAATGCAAAGCAAACAATGGATCATTCCTTTTGTTTATAGCCTATTGGTGTTCATTTATAAAATGTTAATAGCTTATTAATAAAGACAGAATTATTTCTATTTTTAAAACTTTGATCCCATTTAGCAGTGGTTTGGATTTTCAGGAGATTCGACATTCTTATCCTCACAACTTTCATTGTCTCTCTTTATTTTTAAAACTAGAGGGACAGATTATAACTGTTATAATTGGGATCAAACTCATGGCTTTTTATTTATAAAAAAGCTTTCATGTCACTAAACTACAAGGTTGTTGGATTTTATTTTCGTTTTACTTTATCTTTCTTTGTCTTTGACCCTCTTACAATTACACCATTCATTGGAAGCTACACAAACTAATGGGGAATTCTCAGTAAGCATCCAAAATGAATAGTATGACCATTTTGTTTCACGTGAGGTTATATATGAATGAAGTATATAAGAATTTCTCCAGAAGTTTCAGTGTCACACAAGTTTTGTTTTGTTGGAAGGATAAGAATCCCTCAAGTTGCATTAATCTGTTCAATCCAACTAAAGAGATGTGCACCACCACTACTAACTTCACTTGATTTCAAACGAGCCATTTAAAACCAAGCTTCTGATATGCAAGTGAAGGCCCCCCGTTGTAAAATAAACATTCAAATTCAACTTTACAAAGTGGCCTTAGTGTGCATCTCAGGTTATACTCAAATTTGTGAGAAAGGTTTTATTATGCTTTAGTGAATGAATTAAGATATGTGTAAGTTGGTTTATTTATTCTATTCATTTTCTTTTCAAAGTCTATTTGATTTGCAATTAGGAAGGCTCCTATATTCCTCTCTATATATATTTAATTATATCAAAACCACCCATCATGCCTTTTGCGTCTATTATTAGGACACTTGTTAAGAACTTTCAGATAATGCAACAAAAATGTGTGCCTGTACTTGAAAATATCTGCAAAATAATCAGTTGTTTTGTACTTGTAAATCTAGAAAGAACTTTTGGCTCAAGATCAAGCATACAACTTTATGATGGGAGATACGAAGTGCACCAAATGGCAAGTCAAATTAAAAGTGACTAAATTAACCAGGCCATTAAGACCATAATTACTCTCATTGATATTTATCAAGTTAAAAATTATCAATGTAAATTTATGATTAAACTATTAATGAACAATTAATGCTGTCTCCTTTCCCTTTTTTCATTTGTTAGTGCATCCACCATCAACATTCCACAATTAAATGACATTTCCCCCCCTTTATTCCTTTCTTTTTTTTTTTGGTGTTTGTTGCTCTTTCTCTTCATATGATCATTTTATTCTGTAGCCCACTTTCTGTGTATGTCTCAATCCATTGACTGCTGTGAAAGTGACCAAAGGCAAAATAAGAGGATCAAAAGGCATCTTTCTGCCAAAGTGGTGTTTGGTACCACGGAAAATTTGAATTCTGGGGGAGAACATTTTGGGAGCTTCTTCCACTAACCTATTGTGGGATCTCATTTGAAAGCCAATAACAATTTGCAATTTGCCCACTCCATTAATTTCTCATAGACCATGCATTTTTTTTCTCCCAGTTGATTGCCACTGCTGAGATAAAATAAGCAGAGAAAGCGAAGATTGAGAGAAAAAATCATGGCTTTATTTTCTTGGTTTATTAGACAACCATTTTGTTAATTTGTGATTTGATGAATAATAATAGATGATTTTAGTTTTATACTCATCTGGTCTTAAATATAAAACCTATTTCGTAGTGTAAATTATACTATAAAATAGGTCTTATATTTAGGACAGAAGGAATATAATATATTGATTGCTAATGATCTGTTTTATATTTTAATTTCTTCATCTACAGACACAAACAAATAACAGAGTCTTTAAAAACTTCAAAAAATTGAATTGAAAATATGTCTATGTATTAAGGTCAAGATTAAAACATATTGTTTACACGTGAAACCACAAGTAGCCACTAATCTTGAGTCAAATGAAAGAGATTCAGTTATAATCTATCCAACCAATCTAAACAATAATAGTTTAGGTGTAAATTAGGCAAGCACATTGTATTATAGTTACTGCTAGTGAAAGTTGAAAAGTAGATTGACTTAGGAAAAGGTAGGCAAAGCCAAAAGTGGCTTCATTTTCAGTTTTGATTTGAGCCATGCAATGCAAGGAAAATGCCAGGAGTGTCCACATGCACAAAACTTCTTGTTTCCACATATTTTTAGTGCAACAAATGTATAAAATATTGAAGTTGACTTCAGTAAGGGCTTGTGGGTTAAATTCTGTATATGAAAAGTTTATGTATAAAATTCATAATGCATTTCACCATCATTCTGGTGATATTGGGTGGCGTGCTCCACCACAAGAAAAGACCTCCCTACCCATATCTGTGACTCTCTTTCTTTCTTGTTTAAGTATAAAAAGGGCACAAAGGCCTTGCCTTTCTTGTAAGGTAACAAGCAGAGTTGAAGCAGCCATGGCTCTAAAGATCAAGACTTTTCTTTTGGCTCTTCTCTTGCTTTTCTTGCCCTTTACTTCAGGTAAGTTATATAACTGTTTAAATATCTGTGCTGCTATTTTAGTGAGTTTTTTTTATTAGTTTATTAAAAGTGTCTAGTCTTTAGTGAGTAGAATCTGCAGATGTATTTGTACTGACAGAAATAATTTCTGTTTTAAGGTTTTGTTGAAGGCTTCAGAGAAAACATGCATCCTTCAGCTGGTCACTTACTTTACAGGGTATCATCTCGGCCTTCAGCAATATGATGCTAATAAGTTGCAAAAGTATTCCCGTGTTAACTAAAAGCCAGAATACTTGAGAATTGAGATATATATAAATGGAACAGATGTGC